TAACTTACAGAATATTCACTATATTTCTAATATTACAGTTAATCTGCTCTTATTTATAAAGCTTGAAGATCAGAAATTCTGATTTATATTATTTTTTACTATTCTCTCATTTTTCATTTACAGAGCTCTGAATAGTATTATTTTTTATACAGTTCAGATCACTCAGAATAATATATATAAGATTAATAAGTAAGAGTTTAATAAGAATTTCAATTATCTGAATAGAGCAGTTAAGTATATTATAATAATATTTTATAAGTATAATTTTAATTAAAAAGTTAATCTTTCTATGACTGCTATTACTACTGTTAATAACATTAATTCTACAGTCTTGAATACAGATCTTAAGAATATAAGAATATCAAAGACTCTTTTAAACTAATACTGTAATCTCAGTTATATTCACACTGATACTATAATTACTATAATCAAGAATCTCTATACTGAAGTCATAATTAAAGATTCTAAGACTAAGTTCTTTTGTAAGAAATATGTTAAGATAGATATAATATGAGATTATTCAAAAACACTGATATCTAGATCTATTTAACTCATTGAGAAGATTTATATTAATCTTATAGATAATAAATATACATTGAAAGATCTCTCTAATTATCTCTTAAAGTTCTGTTAGAGAATTAAATACTGAATATTTATTATCTGTAATACAACTCACTACTAGACTGGCCGCTGAGATTATGAATTTCACGTTTGATCTTATTTGATCTGATCTCATACATTTCTTAGCGTGAATTCCGCTGGGACTGGCTATCAAAAAAACAGGTAAAGTGACTATATATCAGATCTTAAAATGAAACCATGACTTGAAAAAAATGAGAAAGTGATTTCATTTGATCTCATTTAGTCTCATTCTTAGCATAAAGTTACTATTTTTAGACATTTTAAGGTTTTTTTTAGACTATTTTTAATTTTTTAAAAAGTAACACTTTTTGGTAACACTCAAATGAGATTTAAAGTCATTTAAAGCAATAAAAATAATTTAAATTGAGAAGTGGAAATCATGATCTCATTTGAAAAATGTGATAAGAGTAGACAGTAAGTTTCACTGAGACAGTATAAAACTACTATCTAATGTTAAAACTGTGTAATAAGATCAGTTGAATTGATAATAAGACTATCAAAAAATCTGGTTCTGATTTCAGACACGGTCACACGGTCAGTCTACTCACTACTATTAAGTATATTTTTTAAAGTTCAAGAATAAGACTATTCAATACTTTAAGTTATAACTCAGATTTATGAATAATCTAAGATATATAGCTTCTGCTTTTCTATGAATTAATATTAATGATATTTTCTGATTCACATATATACACACAGTTATAAATTCATATAGTATTAAATGAGAACTGATAGTATTATATTTATCATATCAGAATAATGTTTCTGAACATGAGATTCATACTATTATAAGACAGATTAGAGCTGCTCTTTTAAAAGATAATCTCTCTAAGAGATTCTAAGCAGATATTCTAGAGACAGTGATTATAATAATTAATAATACTCTTACATCTACAGTTCTTTATAACTCAAAATTTTGATTCTTTACTACAGAAACTTCTGTGATTTCAAGTTCATATAAGATTTCTTAATATGTACTTATAAATACTCTGCTGAATATGAGACATTTTCACTAATTAAGTACAGAGATTTTTATTCACTTATATAAATCTCAGAGACTTATGAATAAGCTCTCTTTACATACTGATTTCTATCATATCATTGAATTCAGTGATATATTAATATATTATCTATAATATTCTGAATCTGATAAGATTATTATCAGTAGTAATGTAAGATTTTCAATCACTGAAAAATCAGTTATTATATTTATAAAACTTATTAATTATATTATTGAATCAGAATCTGATATTTATCTGATTAATAATAAAGATATCTCTGATATTAATAATTTAAATTCTACATAATTACAACCTGTGAAATTACTGATTACTTATACTTTAAGTCTTATTATAGATAATCTTCTGAAGTTCTATAAAAATATCACATCTCAGTTAGAAGAGATAGAAGATTATTAAAAGAAGTTTATATAATATAAGATTATTAATCTGAAGAGATATAATATATAAAGTTTGATCTCTAGATCTGATATTCTGAGAAGTGAATTAATTACTTCAGACTGTTAAGTGTTTCTTAAGAAAGATAGATCTATGAACTTAAATATCAATTCTGATAATATTCTTAGAAAATCATATTAAGTGATTTATAATAATTAATTTAAGAAGAATTCTAGAGAAGAGATCTACACTTCTGTTATTACTGATACTGTTAATTATATTCTTTTTATAATAGCAGTACTACACAGTTGAACACTCTGTTAAGTGAATATAGTGATAATATATCTGTATAAATATCTCACTAAGAAGGTCTATATAAGATAATTTATCAGATTTAAGATAGATTCACTGAAAATACTTATCTACATAATTAAGAGTAGTCTATACAGTCTGAACTCTATGATAAAAATCTAGTATAATTACTTAATAGCTCTGTTAAGTAATCTTGAATTTACAGTCAGTGCTTATGATTCAGTACTTTAATATCATTCATTCAGATATTATCTTTATATGATAATTTATATTAATAATCTTAATATTATATCTGAAGTTTCTGAGAATGCTGATTGACTAGTAAGTATACTCAGTGAGAAATTGAAAGTCAAGAATCTATATCAGTTAATTAAGTATTTAAGTATAAAGATTAATTATTCAGATAAGAGAATTGATTTAATACATTATTAATATATTAAATATCTTATTAAAGATTTCTATCTTGATAATACAGCTATTATTAGAATATTAATGAAGAATGAATTCTGTATTAATAATTTCTCTATATCTGAGAAAGAGACTGATTTCACAATTTAGTGATACTAATATAATATAAGTTATTTACAATATCTTACAGTTAAAACATGTTCTGATATTACTCACACTGTCTTACTACTCACTTAACAGAATATTGATTTAATATCTTAATATTAAAAGACTCTATTACATGTTATATATTATTTAAAAGAGATCATGAATCTGAGTATTTTCTACAGATATAATCTGTATAAGAAGTCTGTTTCTACTATTTCTACTGTTTCTATTAATCTCTCTGTTATTTCTGATTTCTCTGATAATTTCTATCTACTCTTTAGCTACTCAGATTCTGATTAAACTGATCTCTTGAATAATAATAGAAAATTAATATCTGACTATGTTTTTAAGCTCACAGACAGTCTGATTTCATGATATTCAGTGAAGTAATCTTATATATCTCTAAGTTTCAATGAGACTGAATATATAACTCTTAGTAAGACAGTCTGTGAGATAATATGAATTCAAAATCTCATAATTAAGCTTGACTTTATTATTATATCTTCAGTACAGATTCTCACTGATAATAAGAATATTATAAATTTTACAAAGATGATAGTCATTACAGTCTGAAGTAAGTATATTAACATACATTTTCATTTTTTACATTAACAGTTGAATTAGAGAGTCATTAATTTAGAATACATTTTCACTACTCAGATAACAGTGAATAAACTCACTAAATCTCTAAATACTGTGATATTTATATAATTCATGATTTTACTAGATCTTACAGATGTAAAAGTTGAAAATGTTTAATTTTACATTTGTATTTGATTTTGACAGACTATCTTGATGATTTGAGTGTTTTTATATGTGATTCTTGTTATCTTGAGAGAGAGTGTTGACTGTTACAGCTGTTACGGTTAGCAATCTTACTAGATCATGTGACTCATCACTATATTTCTTATGAGAAGAATGTAGAGTTATTACACGACTGAATTATGATTATTTCATCATTTCAATTGATAACACAGTCACTGAGCTGTAAATCATAGTATAATAATGAATGAATAATAAAATTATTATAAATAAGTGATAAACTGAAAAAATCAATTATTATATTCATGATGTCACTGAATTCAATCTATATAATCACTAATTCTAAAAACTGTCTCATTCATCAGTATCATTCTCTATTGAAAATTATAGACACTTTTATCTAAATTCTTCTGAATCAACTGAATTAAGTTTCTTTTATAGTCTTTATTTCTAGTTATATTACTCTCATTAATCACATCACTGAACTTGTAAATTAAGGTTTACAGATTACTTATGATCTGAAAGACACTGTCATTGACTATCTGATATTTAAGAGTTGAGGTTTCAGAGTGATTAGATGCTGAGTATTTAAAAGTCTATACAATTATTAATCTCTGAATAAATCTGAGAATCATTTCACTGACTCTAGCTTACTATTTCAGTGATTATTTCATAAGTTCAGAGACTCAGAACACTTATCAGAGTCAGAAGATTAGAGAAGAAGAGAAGAGAAGAATTGACAGCAGTGATAGAGAGACTGATAAGAGTTGTAGAGAGAGAAAGAGAATTATCACTATTAATAAATTTCTTATTACTGCTACTCTCATTGACTGTATTACTGAGAAGTTTGACAATTATTTTAAATTAGTTTATTATTTTATACATTTCAATGAAAATACACTGTGCTTTCTCTCTGACACTATTAATCAAGTTTGTGAGATTCTTTATCACTGCTTTTTAACTCTTATAATAATTATTAATCAATCTCAAGATCTCTCATTAAACAGCAAGTTTTATATTTTCAATATTCAATTTTCTCTTTTCAATGATAATTTTCTTCTTCTTTATAGTAATTTTCTTCTTTTCAATCTTCAATTTGATTCTTTCAATATTCAACTTAATCTTCTCAATTTTGAGTTTAACTTTTTTAGCAGAACTGATAAATGTATTTAAGACTTTCAATACAATAGCTATACTCTTCATTTTTTAATTTTCTGCTTTCTGCTGATGTGTCTTTACTTTCTTAATTTACTTGAATAAATTCTTCACTGTCTTCAGTATAACTGACTTGACTGATTTCTTTATAACTGTCAGAGCAGTAAGATAAAACTCATGAGTTTGAATCAGATTTTCAATTTCATCATTGAATTTATCAGAGTATATCATACAATCTTTCTTTTTATAATTGCAGTTTGAACATGACTTTATACTTTCTTTAACTTTGTCACAAACAGATTCAATATAATGAGGAAAAATATATAAGACACAGTACTCACACATTATTAACTTGCTAAATTTAATGAAAGTATTCAGTCTACTTGCTATCTCTTTCTCTTGTACTTTTACTGCTGCTGCACATGTACACTTGAAGATGTCTCTGATTATTTTGATGTTGTTACTGCTGCTATTATTACTGCTGTTATTGCTGCTGTTATTACTGCTGTTGTTACTACTGTTATTACTGCTGTTGCTGCTGTTGTTGCTGCTGTTGTTACTGCTGTTGTTACTGCTGTTATTACTGCTACTGCTGCTGCTGCTACTGCTGTTACTACTGCTGCTGTTGCTGCTGCTGCTGCTGTTACTACTGCTGCTGTTAATGTTGCTATTGTTACTATTGCTGTTATTACTGTTACTGTTATTACTGTTACTGTTATTACTGTTACTGTTATTACTGTTACTGCTGCTATTGAATGAAATAATAGATCACTGACATTCTTAATATACTATGCATATAAGATATCTTGATATTAGAACTTTTGATATTCAAAACTTTCTATTATAACTAGTAGAATACTAATCTTACTGAAGATGAGAAGAGCTGAGTGAACTGAAAAAATTGATATTTATATTGTAATATAATTGTGAGAAGAAGAAAGAAAGAAAGAAAGAAAGAAAAAGAAGATAACAAGTTATTCTTCTTATATATATTATTGATTCATCTTTGCAGATTATTATGTAATGAATGTAAATACTTTCATATTTTATCTCTGAGTGTAATCAGTGCATCTGATGAATTTCATTCATATCTTAATACTTTCTATACAGGCTATCACTGAATGAATTACAGCTATTTTGAATATAAAATCATTTCTATTAACTAGAAACAAGTGTTTAACACATTATCAGAAATATATCTACAGAATTTAAGATTTTCTGATGCAGTGAAATCAGTAAATTCTTCACAGTTATAACTATACAAATTGTAAGATAGAGAATATGACAACTTTCTTCAGTGAATATCAAGACAGATATATTCTAATTATATATATTAAAGTATATATTAACTAATTTATATATAAAACTCATAGAAAACTAAATATATTAAAATATAAATAAATTATGTTGAAAATCTCTATATCACTGATCTGTCTTTCACTGAAAGTGTTTCTGAAAATTTAATCTTTTTTCATATCTTCTTCTATACATCTTTTATCAGATGTCTCTTTTTTACTATCAGAGTATTCTAAATTATCTCAGTAAAGTCATCTCTGATAATTTACTGATATTCAGAAATATCACTTATCAGATCTCAGAATATCAGAATATTTTATCATTATAGTATAGCTGCAGCAGAATTTTCATTTATATCAGTATTATCAAATATTTTAATCTGAGTTATAAGATTGATATATATCTCTATTTTTCAGAATTAGTTTCTAGTTTTTCAATCTGAAGTTTTCAATTCAATATCTTTAACTAATGAATATTCAACTTATGTTTTATATATTATTATTCTCACTCAGAGAATCAATCAAAGTTGATGATTTCTCATACTCAGTAAAAAATCAGAAAGAACTTTTCAGCAGTAAATAAATCATAGAAGTATTCAAAGATAATTAATTCTTTATAACAGTTATATAATTTAATTACTGCTGAACTTTCTCTACTCTTTATCTTCTTTCATTGAATATGATTCTATATTAATAAATAATTAGCTAAGTTAATCAAAAAAATGTTAATATCTCACTGAAAAGTTTCAAATTCTTCTAAGATATCTCACTGAAAAGTTAATATATTTACTAAAATTTAATACTACTTATCTTCATTTCTTTGAGAGTTCAGAACTTTCATGTTTTAATTACATTCAGTATTATTATTCTACTGAATGAAAAGATGTATAATATTTTATTCTTTATTTTTATCACACTTGTAATTGTTCAATTCAAATTATCTTTGTTAAAAGAAAGAAAATATATTCATTTTATCTTCAGATATAGACACTGCTCTATTAACTAAATTTTCTTTCTATATATTTCTGCATCTGAATACTGAGTTCAGTAACATCTTTTTAACAGACTATTTAATATTAGTAATGAGTTTGACTTCTTCTCATCTGACTGATATTTATTATTACTGTTATTATATTCATTCTATATTCAGATATATTAATATTAGATTTCTTTTAAAATTGATAATTTATCTTATTAAATCTATCAGATGAGAGAGTTCAGAGAGATCTAGTAGAGCAGAATTCATAATAATATTTATTTTCAGAATCTTGATAGAACTCTGATAAATTTGTAATATGAATAGAAATATAGTGATTTAATTCTTAATATTAAATTAATATAGATTGTCACTGATTACAGCTTTTATTAATATATTTCTTTTCAGTAATTCAATCTCATCTCTTTATTTTTATCAAGATTACTTATTCACTTCATTTATATCTTTTTCAACTATATAACTTTTTTTCTATAGATCATATCAGAGAGTAAAATATTATATCTGTTTAATTAAAATCTGAACACTATCTGC